TTTTCGCGTTCTCTTAATTTTAAAAGAGAAAAGTTTGGGCCTGTAAATGTTTGGTTTGGGCTTTTACCTGCAAAATTACGATTTTTTTTTTCTCTTATTAAATAAAGCTCAGAATAATTGAAAACAAAAAAAAAAGATTTTATCATTCGGGTTTTGATGGAGAAATCGGGTCATGAATTGGGTTATAGACAATCGCATCTGAAGAAATCATTCAAATCTGCTCTTCGTTCTCTTCTCACTGCTTGTTCCAAACAGGTATTCTTCAAAAAAATGGAATCGATTTTCATTTCTGGGTGTGTTCTGTTTTAGTGCGAAATTTCTTGGGTTTTGTGGGGTTTTAGTGTGTAGGGTTTCTCGAAAGATTGGTAATTTCGAACTTGAGTTTGGGTATGTTGAGATTGGGAATGCTGATTTTGTTATTGCTTACTCGAGACTGCAAAATTACTTAATCCTATGGAGTTTTAGTTGTTTAGGGTTCTTCAAGAATTGCTGATTTAATCGAATACGAGAATTCCAATTTGGGTATGTTCAGATTGAGAATGGTGATTTTGTTTTGTTTACTTAAGGCTGCAAAATTACTCAATAGGGTTCTTAAAAGATTGATAATTTCGAACTTGTGGAGGGAATTGTTGATTAGAATCGAATACAAGACTTGCCAATTTGGGTATGTTCAGAGTAAGAATGCTGGTTTTGTTTTGTTTACTAGAGACTGCAAAATTACTCAATCCAATGAAGCTTTAGGGTTTTAGGGCTTTCGAAAAATCGATAATTGGAACTTGAACTACCTCGATTAGCATTGAATTTGTCCCTGATTTATGAAACTGTGCTTTATAAAAAACTGGTTGTGGTAGTGTCTTCTTGGTAAACTGAAGATGAGACTGTGCTTTAGTGTCTTCTTGGTAAGCTTTAAGAGTCTTCAGGTTTCTTCTGTGTATGTTACTAATACACCTCTCTGTGTGTTTTTCTTTTATTCAAGGATTTTCTCGACATTTTCTCGAAATTCACTAGGGCTGAGCAAGAACTGCTTTATCGGTTATATACTCAGGTATCTCTCTTTATTACTCCTCTTTCGAATAGCTTATCAATCATATGCACATGGAGGAAAACCATGTAGATTCCATTAGTTTCATATGTTTGATGTTACATAAATCGAAGGAGAAGCCTCTTTAATATGTCTTGTCTCTCTCTCTCTGACATTTGTTTCTAGGTTATTGTGAATTTGCATCAGACATTAGAGGTAACTATTGACTCTGAAAATCATCCAAGTTATCTTAATTTCGATGTGAAACCCCTGTGATGGGTTATTCATGGTGTGATCAATTAGAAACTCTTAGTAACGTTTTCAGCATTTTTACAGGATGAGTTTGATGCACAATGTCACGAAACTCAGGTACCGTTGATGAACTTCCCTGGAATACTCTTATATCTTCTTCTTCCACGTTAGAGACTTGTTGCTCGTTATATTTGCTTGTTACACACCTATCTAGTAAATGTTTGCATAGGTTCCTCTTAGTGATCACACACTTGTAACAAATCCTTTTTGAGTGAAACAGTTTCCCTTTGCAGGTCGGACCAATTCTGGATACAGTCGAGGAGCTGGTCGAAGAACAGAGTTTGGATCCCTTATTTTCAGATAAGTAGGTGTCAGACAGGCCACTAAATCCATTTTGTTTACTATTATGCATTCATGACATTAGCCTCAATTGCAAGTCCACCATATTTTGGAATTCTGATATTACTGTCACAACAACTCGATCTCAGGACGAATGTAATGGACATAGCAAATGATCTAACAACAGCTAAGAAGAGCAAGATACAAATGTTAACAGGTTTGCTTCAACGGGTAAGTAAGCTCAAAAAGACGGTCACGAGACACCAACCCTTTGCTTATATTGCCATTTTTAAAACCGATTTCTTATCCACTTACCATACCATACCCTTTGCTCAAAAAGACTGTCACAAGCTCAACGGGTAATGTCTTTATCCACTTACCATACCAGGCCGAAGAACAGAATTGCCAAATGGAAGCTCGAATCACTCTGCTCAGAAAACAAACACAAGATGTCTCAGGCACAGCTAGTGCAATCGAAAAGGTACTATATAACTTATTCAAATTTCGAAATCTTACACCCACTTATTCTTTGTTTTAAATCGTCCTCAAAACGCTGAATCTTTTGCAGCTGAAAACCGGGATCTCAAGCTACTTTGAAGGAAATGACAAGCTACCTCCAATATAGCTTCAAGACAATTGCAGTGAAAAAGTGTGTTACTTTCATTCCCTGCATTTGTATAGTCTATTAGAGTCTTATCAATCTAGCTAGTCACAACTACTTGCTTCATGTACCTTTAACCCAAAAGAAACGACTACCTTCGTGTGTAAAACCACTGAGAAGCTGGATTAAACCAGTTTGTGCATTATGTTCCGGTTAACTTGTTTAATTAAGATGAGTGGTACTTTGGTTTTAGTTCGATTATAATTCATACTATTTTCTTAAAGGTTGAAAAGAGCTGTTCATAAGTTGTTACATAAACAAACATATTGTGACTTTTATCACAACCATAAGATTTGTTGGAAAATGATCATCATGTGACTTTACACATATATTATTTTTTTATGTAATAAAGAAAATGAAACTGTTGGTGTATCTGCAGACATTCAAAATGGATGACTCGGAACCAAGTCACTCCCTTGTGATATCTGTACTTTCTACCGACCAGATGATTCCTCACACTTCATAATAAATATATTCTCTATTTTATGGCTTTTAAAGTAACTGATGTTTAATAATTGTGGGATGTAAAGCATTCCGGAAATTCGCTCTCTTGGCGATACACACGCTATACTCATTTTATCCAGTCACGACTGGATAGATCCCTATCAAACTGTTCTTGGGCAGAGAGATTCCCATCAACCAGGTGCAAATACCTTCGTTTTGAAGGTTCAGATCATCATCCTCTTCTGACGTACTTTAACGAAACAACCAAAAATAAAAGAGGGACCTTCCGATTTGATAGAAGACTAAGGGAGTTAGAAGAGATAAAGACACTTATAGGAGAGGCTTGGAACTCTCCAATGGCTTCTTCCTCTGTTTTGACTAAGCTTAGTCATTGTCGTCGCTGCATCATTGAGTGGACCAAAGAACAGAACCTTAATAATTCCAAACTAATAACAGAGCATCGGGAAGCTTTAGAGGTGGCACTTTCAGCCTCTAGCCCAGATCAGCCGCTCAATACATCTATCACAACCTCTCTCGAAAAAGCATATATGGCCGAGGACCTCTTTTGGAGGCAAAGAAGTCGAGTCCAATGGCTCCATAGTGGGGAACGCAACTCCAACAA